GAAAAGCACAGGGGCGGCTACTCGGGATTTTGCTGGCTGGATGAATCCTCTGGCTAGGTTCTTATCAATGTATGCCCTCAGTTCCTTCGGTTCATGGGGGGGGGGGTCATTGAATACATTTTTGGCTTGGGCAATTTGGCTCCCAGTAAAATCTCAATAGTGGTTCTGTGGGGGGGGGGAAGGACATTGCATTCTGCCTTGCTGAAGCTTCTGCTAGGTGTCTATATTCACTTGGGATGAGTGGTTCTCCAGGCAGGGGATTCACAGTTGACTTTAAGGTCTCCAGGTCCGGCCTTGGCTCTCACTTGGGCTACTGATTGGGGGAGGAGGTGAAGGTCCAGTTGCTAGTCTAAGAGTCCTCACTCCATTCTCCCACCAGATCATAGGGTGCCATTTGTCAAGCCAAGCTAGTCCCCGGAGCCCTAATGGATCCAGTTGCTGGAGCAGGTGGGGCATTGTGACGTTTGGCATCTCACTGGCTCTTGCCTTGGTTGGGCTCTTGAAGTTGCAGGCTTGTGGTACAAGGTCAGTTCAACATCCAAATTCATATCCAAACAGGACCAATCATGGAGTTGATCAAGATTCCCCCTGCAGATACACGTTTGGAACAGCTTGTGGTCCAACCCCAGTTTGAAGTAGTGGATCAATGACTGTTCAGGCCACTGCCTGATCCGTCCAGCCAATCTTTGAAATTATTTTACATATTCTCTTGCAGGCCGACCTGCTTCACATCGTGGATGTCTTTTTTGGCTTGCACAGTCTGGGATTCATCTTCAAACCTGGTTCTCAGCTCACATTTGAATAGATTGAAATCCCATAGCTCGGGTGCCTACTCCTCACATAGGGCAGCCATTCACTCCACAGCTTCCCCTTCCAAATTTGCAGCCACAGTATCAACCATTTCGGCATTGTCTAAGTAAGCACGGCCATTATGATTTACATAAGACCATACCTGGTTCAGGAAAACAGTCATCTTCTTGAGATCACCGTCGAAAGTGGGCTTGAGGGGGGTGGTGGATCTGCAGGTTGTCGGTCCCAAAGAGCCTGCAGCAAATCAGGCAACAGGGGTTGGGGTTGCTGAAATCTCCCTTGATGGAAGATCCATGGTGGGGGTCCTAGGTTGGCAGGGCGCCGATGACGGTCAGGGCTGGCATGACGGTAGAGGTCAGGGCCATTGGGGCATTGATAGCAGTCTGGGCTGGGCAGGCATCAATGGTGCTCGGGCTGACATAGTGCCGATAATGGTGAGGGTTTACCGGGCATTGGTAGCAGTCAGGGCTAAACATTGATGATCCTCCAGGCTACGGTGAGACCAACATTGATCGGGGCTGGCAGAACACCAGCAATACTCGGAACTGACCTGTCTCTGGGGTCGATCCAGACTGGCATGGTGTCGGTAGTGGTCAGGGCTCTGCCAGTGCACTGGACTCGATGTTAAGTCTGGTTTTGGCAGCAGATTGGTGGCTCATGTCATCGCTATGGGACTGGTTTTTGTAGGAGTGGTGGAGGCTCATGGGAATGCCTGTCTTCTTGCTCACTTGAGATCACCTGGCATGTGGCCTGTCCTCCTTCGCCCATCTCCAGCCTGTCAAACTTCTCTCTCAGACGTTCGACCGAGTGTCTGTGGATAGTGCTAAGGTATTTCCATTCCCCTGACTCATCCCAAGCAGCCGGTCATTTTACTGTCAACATCACAGATGGACAGAAACCCTGGGATGAGATCAATAGGAACTCGAACTCTGACGCTTTCACCGTGCTGTTGAGCAGCAGGGCAGTGTTTGACCACCAGGTCCCTCCGAGGATGAACACTTCTTCTCTCTGTGTCAGCTTCTCCAATGGGACCTCTCCCCTTGGTTTAGAGATTTTTTGGAGTCTTATTTAATGTCATGGTTCTGATAGATAAGACCAATAAAAATAAGAACTCCGAGGCAATTGCTTTCCTCAAAGAACAACTTTTAATGGCTACATAGTTTCGGCATGAACAAAGATGAAACCAAGACTGAAAGTCCCCTCCCCCAAGATTACAAAGTAAAAAGTTGAACTCTCCACCCCTGCAGTATGTCATAAATCATAATCCCCAATTAACTACTTTCGCGGGCCTTCTAACGGAAAGTTCAGCCCGCCAAAACTTAGTAACTTGACCTTGATTCCTACAGAATAGTTATTGTTGTGTCTAAACTAAGAGAATACATCTCCCTCCTCCCATCACGGTGGCAACTGAAAATGAAGTGAAGTGGCTGCAGCCCAATTCATTTGAAGGTTGACATCATGTTTTTCACTGCTATTGAAACTTTGAATGATCACCAAACGAATGGTTGTAAATTGAGGACTACCTGTACTCTGAAAAATGCATGAATTGTCATGGTGTGTCAGAGTAGCCACAGAAGCTGGTAGTGAGATCGGTCATGTACATCACCTTTGGGCATAACTTTAAATTACAATTCATGCAGATACTCCTGCTTGTGATGTTTTGTGATTCACTATAGTAGGTACACATTAATCACCGTTCCACATGCAAGCATTTGCTGAGGCAACCAAAAATAAAATAAAAGGAGATGAATTCAAGTTCTTCCAAAGCCAAATCTCTCTTTGATCTTGGCTACTTCAATATAGTGTTTTACTCAGTGTGAACATAACACTTTAATTCTTACTCTCATGCATTGATTTTCCAATATAACTACCAGGAATATATTTATTCTCTTGACTTGCAATACAGAGACAAAATAACTATAGAAAACTTGCATAGAATTCATTGTAATTTTCATTTTCCATTTTAAACATCAGAGCAGGAATGACACCAACTCTACCTACAATGAAGAGAACCTGGCTCGGTGTATTGTTGATTTTTTTGGTGCTGGGACAGAGACAACCTTTATTATTCTGATGTGGGCACTGCTCCTCTTGACCAATTATCCTGACATCCAAGGTGAGAGAAATGTGGGCTGTGGGAACAAGGGCCAGTCTCAGGTTCTATAATATACAGAAATTATTTGAAATGCTAAGGTATTGAGTGAGGAACTGAATGTATTGTTCATAATAATTTTCCTATGTAGATTCTTGACCCTATAAGCAGGGGAATGAACTTGGCAGGATAACAGAAAAACCAGGAATGTACAAACAGAGAGTCTTCTTTGAATTCTCAATGAAAATCTTGAGAGAGGAACTAAAAACTGGAATCAGTATAAATCTAAAACATTTAACACGTTCAAAGTAGAAATATACTCTGGTTTTCAGATTTGCTACTTTTTTCTGGCCTAAATTGCATATAGAGGACCAAATTTCAGCATGATAATATAGAGAAAAAAATCAAGATGGCAGGAACAAGTGGATGCATGACACAAGGCTCCCTTGTGGGAAGGGATGGGAAAATTGTGGAGGATTATCACTTGGAGCAGCAAACGAAACTGAAGAGACCAAGCTGGAATGGCGTGGCAAAGACAGAGGATTGGTCTGGATTCATGAGCCAGTTGAAGCTTGTATTTTCATCCTGGCAACCAGGGCAGACCCCTGGCCACAGATTTGGGGTGGAGTGTGGGAGCCAATCAAGGGCCATTGTCTGCAGCACTGAGGGACACAACTGGGACAACAGACTGTTCATCGTCATAAAATGTTGGAAGTACCAAGATGTTAAAAGTACTAACTGGTATCATCATGTTGCTTAGAGAATGCTCATTTGGGGACTCCTTTCATGTCCCTAAATGGGCCCACCAAAGTGATACCTATTCATCTTCTCATGTTTGCAAGTGTTCAAACTTCTATGTCAGTAGGAGCTGGAGCAAATGTCAGTAGCATACCCAACAAAAAAAGCAGCCCTCCGGTCTTGAACGAGGGCTTGCAGATTGTCAGCCCAGCATTCTAGCCATGTGAGCCACCACGCTCCTATGAGACTGGTGGGAAGTAGAGAAGTGGCCCTGAGTCTGACCGAGTGCCAAGTCTGAAAGGGTTGAAGGGCTGGAAGCCATGCCAAAGAGTTTGTGCTGAGGGTGGAAGGCTGGTGGAGGTATAGGGAAGAGCCAGCTTGTAGCTGGAGCTGGAGGCAGCCCAGAAGGATGTCATGTTGGCAGGGAAAGGAAGCAAGAACTGGCCCAGAGAATCAACAGGGGCCTTCGCAGTGAACTATGTGACCCAGATCAGAGATGGAAAGGAGGAGTACAAAGGCCAGAGATCAGAGATGAATTTGGAGCCTTCTGGTGTTGAACACCAGGTTATGGTCGCAAACTTTGGAATTCCAACATACCTAGAGTCCAGAAGCTGGCAGTAGCTTTAAGGATAAGGAGAGATGCTCTGAAGAACATTGATGGCAACAAGCCTTTGGGACTGACAGGGAGAAGCTGATGGAGGGTACAGAGTCCAAGACCCTGAGGTGATAGTGAGTTGGGCCCTAGGTTGAGAGCATAGGGGTCACTTCAATGTGTGGCTATTGTACGTTTGCCTGGGTGTGAGAAGAGAAGAGCCTATATATGCGAATGTGGTCTCCTCTCTGTTTGGCCAGTGGGAGAGAGCAGCTCAAGGTGGGAATACATTGAGTGTGTTTGTGGAGATTGTGGACCATAAGGATTCCCATTGGCACTAAGAGCTACAGTGAAAATGCCACACATTGGTGAGTCTGTATGACTGGCAGAATGGCAGGTCTGCCAGCACAGCGGGAGGTCAGGTTTAGGGGTAGAAGATCATCTCACAGGGTTTAGGGCAGGAAAACCAATTCAAGTGGTGATGGGCAGGAATATACAGTAAACAGGTGCCAGTGGCAGGCCCCAGAAGCAGTTTAAGTGTTCATGGCCACCAAGGTAGCCTTCTCAGGTTATCCATGGCCCAACCCAGGACAGTGGACACCCTTGAAGACATGATCTGCTTGTCAAAACAGTGGCAATGTGGTCTGCTCTGGGAGTTATCATTATTCCCTCTGTCATGGTCAGACTACACAGTGGTGTCCTTGAGATTTTCCAGCACTGCCCCCTCTGCAGGGAGGCTGGACCTATTCACATAGTCCCTTCTTGATGACTGATGGACCATTCAGATTCCAGAAGGAGCTGTGGGATTGTCCTGGGGGATCTGCTGTGTGGCCCTTTGGAGGCTCTGGCCACAGCCTGGAATCAGAAAATAGCTGCAGCCGTGGACAGGATTGTGCCCATGTGCCCTCTCTTGGCCCATTGCTTCCAACACTCCAATGGTTTATGGAGGAGTTGAGGATGTTGAAGAGACAAATGCCACTGGAGGAATAAAAAAAATGCATATGACTGGAAATGGATCAGAGTTGCCATTAAGTCCTTACCTCGTGGTGCTAAGAGTGACAAAATGCCACATCACTGCAGAGGGGATGTTGCCAGCACCATTTAAGGAGGCCTTGATCTGACTCTTCCTTAAGTCTCCTTCACTGAACCACACCTATCTTGACAGTTTCTGTCCAGTTTGCCATCTCCACTTTTTAGTGAAGGGGAAAGTAGTGGAAAAAATGGTTGCAGTATGGGTCCTGGATGAAATGGATTATCTGGACCCCTTTCAGCCAGGTTTCAGGCCTGGTTATGGGACAGAGACAGCATTAACCATACTTGTGGATGATCTCTGGAGGGAGTGGGATGGGGATAGCACGTCCATCATTGTTCTTCTTTTCCCTTCTGCGGCTTTTGATACCATCAACCATGGTATCCTTTTCAGCTGGCTGTGGGAATCGGGACTGGATGGTGCAGTGTTGCACTGGTTCATCTCTTTTCTTCAAGGCCAGTCCCAATTGGTGGTGATAGGGAGTGAGAGGTCCACTCCAAAGCTTATCATTTATGTCATGGTGCAGAGCTCCGTCCTCTCTCTGTTCCTTTTTAAATCTTCATGAAACTGCTTGGTGAGATCATCCAACACCATGGGGCAAGGCATCATCATTTTTTCCAGAATAGTCAACTTTGCATCTCCAGGCCAGTGACCTAGGTGATGCTGTAGTTACCCTCTTGCAATGCCTGGACACCATGGGGGTCAACAGGCTTCAGCTTAACCCTGGTAGAACATAGTATAATAGAATTGGAAGGAACCTTCCTCAAGCAGAGGACGTATACAATTCCAGGCAAGTGATTCTCCACTCTCTTCTCAAAAGCCTCCAGTGATGGAGCACCCACAACTTCAAAAGACAAGTTGTTCCATTGGCTGATTATTCTTATCGTTAGGAAATTTCTTCTTAGTTCTAGGTTGCTTCTCTCCTTGGTTAATTTCCAATCATTGTTTCTTGTCTTGCCTTTTAGTCCTTTGAAAAATAGTTTGACCCCCCTCATCTTTAAACATTGGAACACTGCTATCATGTCACCCCTACACCTTCTTTTGGTAAGATGGAGTCACTGTGGGATCAAAGGGACTCAAGGATCTAGGGCTTTATCATCTTTAGTTCTGAGTGGACTGCATTTTGCCAGACAGATCCTGTGTGCAATTTGTGGTTTCTTCCAGACTCATGACTCCAACTGAAAGAACAGGTGGCAGTCAGGGCTAGGAGACCCTTTGTGTAATTTCATGTTATTTGCCAATTGTACCCTTTCATGGATTGTGAGGATATGTGCAGGGTCTCCCATGCCCTTGTAATCTCTCAGTTGGATTACTGCAATATGCTCTACTTGTAGCTTACAAATACTCCCTTGAAGAGTATTTGTAAGCTACAGCTGGTAGCAAATCCAGTGGTGCAGCTACTTCTAGAGATCCCTTGGGTGGCATATATAACACCACTGTTACATGAGCTGTGCTGGTTGCTAGTTTGGTTCTGGGTCCAATTTAAGATGAATTTAAAGCCTTTTATGGAGTGGGTGTAGAAGAGGAATCCCCAAAATTTCTGGGTTGGTGGCCCGGTGGGAAAAGGAGGGGTAGGTACCTTTATGCATGAATGCTCACACATGCAAATGTGGCTGTGCGTGCGTGCGCACAAATGGGGCCACAAGCATGCGCATTCTGCAAATGGGTCTGGTGGTGCCAGCGCAAGGCTCATGGCAAGGCTACAGCTGGCAAGAGGCTCACAGTGATGCTAGCGCCGATAAAAGGGGGGTGAGCACGTGCACATGTGCACTCACACTGGCCAGTCACTCATGTGGACCAGTGGCTAAGAGGCCATGGACCAGTAGTGGGTCACGGCCCATAGGTTGGAGACCTCTGTGGTCTAGGGCAGGGCTTTTCAACCTTTTCACAGATTGTACCACTTTTAGGACATGACAATATTTGAGTACCACCAGTGCTTAGCAAGGTCTCAAAAACTTGATGACTAAAAAAAAGGGGGGGATTTTGGGTTTTACTGATTAGATTCATTTGTTGTTATAGAAATGGCTAGTTTATAATATTATGGAAAAGTAAAAAGTTGAGGTTCAATGTTAATGCTTCCTTCTACTGCAACAGGGGAAGTCTGTTCTTTTTTCCCTTCTCCCCCCTCAATTTTTCCCCCTTTTTCCTCCCGACTGTGTCCTACAATTTGCTTTTGTATTTTTGTATTTTATTCTATAATCTAATAAAATATTACAAACTGTAGAAAAAAAGTAAAACGTACCAGTTTTAATTTCTTCGGTGGCTGTTCCTTTGCTGAATCCCTTTCCCTTTGCACTGACAAATGTATGATGAATTTATCCATGTTTATTAATATGCACTACTGCCACCTACTTCAGGGGTCTTCAAACTTGGCACTTTTAAGACTTGTGGACTTCAACTCCCAGAATTCCTCAGCCCTCATGGCTGGTTGAGGAATTCTGGGAGTTGAAGTCCATAGATCTTAAAGTTGCTATGTTTGTAGACCCCTAAGCTAGCTGGTTGGCCCTTCTTCCTCTCTCTCTTCTGAGCTCTTTCACAGTGTAGTAAGCATGCACCCCCCCCAATCCTTTACCTGTACCCTTAAAGACACAGGAATCAAGTGCAAAGCAAGAAAGGCTCACAAAATAAACCTCCGGTTTTTTTTCTCTTTAAGCTGCCTCAGGCATGTCACGTGTCACAATGTTGCAATCCCAGACTGAAAGTCTCCGGCAATTGCAAAAGGTTTAGCTTTAAATTAAGCCTCTTTACCTTCAAAGAAACCTTTCTAAAAGCTATAGACAGATTGAATTAAAGGAGGTAAAACAAATTTCATTGCTTAAAGGGATTAAACCTTTCCTGATGTCTTTTTTCCCTTCCCCCACTCAAACCACCTCCTTTTATAGCCTCTCCTCTCCTCCCCCCCTCTTTTTCTTCAGTTCACCTCCAGCTCCGAACTGCTTCCTGAAGCACCAATCAGCTGGAGCCCTGCTGGCTCCTGGGGCTTCTGCCAGCCGAGACAGTCATGCAGCTGCAGTTGCCTCTCTCTCAGGCTTGGGTCATTTTGGTTCTTTCCCCTCCCCTGCTACACTTGGCTAGCAGTCACATACCACCTACCACGTGGCAAAGTACCATAGGTGGAACACGTACCACCAGTTGAAAAGCCCTGGTCTAGGGCAGGGTTTTTCAACCAGTGGTACGGGTACCACCTGTGGTACATTGGCACCTGGCAGGTGGTACGCGACCATCCTAGAAAAGTGGTAGCGGGGGAGGGGAATGAGCTGAACTGGTGGCAGCACCGCACAAGCCTGAGCGAGAGATGGCTGGAGTTGCAGGGCTGTCAGTGCAACTTTCCAGCTGATCGGCGCTTTTTCGGGGCTGTCAGGGCTCAGGGGAAGCGCCAGGATCAGCGCCAGGCTCCAGTTGGAGCTCGGCGTTGATCCTGGTGCTTCTGCTGAGCCCTGAAGAAGCACCAATCAGCTGGAAAGCAGCACTGATCCTGACGCTTCTGCTGAGCCCAGAAGAAGCGCCGATCAGTGGAATGTTGCAGCATCTCCAGGGTCTTGTGATTTACATTCAGATGCCTGGCAACTGATTCATATTTATGACTGTCACAGTGTCCCAGGGTCATGTGAAGTGACCAAAACCTGCTGCAACCACCCAGCAGATGGGGGGAATAAAAACCAAACACCCCCACCCCACCCCCACTGCCAATCCTCAACAGAAATGCTCACAACAATGAAAATCTCAAATAGGAGGAAGAGCACCGTCGGGCGGGCAGGCAGGTGTCTTGCTTGGCTGTGGCTTGGGGGGCACTTTTTCAGTGCCATTGTAACTTCGAACAGTCATTAAGCGAACTGTTGTAAATTGAGGACTACCTGTACTTTATCTCTTTTTTCTTTTTTTTGGTCATGAAGTTTTTGACACCTTGCTAGGCGACTGGTGGTACTCGGATGTTGCCATATCCTAAAAGTGTACAATGGGTGAAAAGGTTGAAAAGCCCTGGTCTAGGGTATCTGAGGAGCTGTCTCATTCCAATGTGACAAGCCCATTCCAGTTTCTCTAGCAGAAGAGACCTTTTTCGGATACTGACTGCTAAAGAATTTCAGCTGGCAGTGTTCAGGGGAAGAGGTTATTCTGCTGTGACCCCCACTGTCTAGAATATTCTCCTCCTGGAGGTGAGGTCCACCCTTACCCTGCGGATCTTCAGGAAGAGTCTTAAAACCTGGCTCTGCCAATTGCTCTGGAGCCCTGATAGAGGTGCACTACTATGGGAGTGACTGGTAGGGTAGAGAGAGATGATCCCTACTCCTTGTTACCCATCCTCTTGGTTTTTAGTTTATTTAATTCTCTCTATTTTAATTGTTCTGTACTATCAAAATACCCACTTGCCTAATAATTGTGCACACAGTGTAGATTGAAAAAGATTCCATAGAATATTTAAACTGAATCAATATTCTGCACCTGTTTGGACTGGATATGATCAGAGCACAGGAAATGCATTTTCAATCTGCTCTCCTTCATCATATTTTTTAAAAAGGATGGGATTACATTTAATGCCCTAAAGGTTATTCCTAAACTTGTCCTAAACTTCTGCTAAGGATTAACATTTGGAAACAAATAAATGAAACATAATAATGAAAAAGAGATTTCTACTTCTATTGTTTTTTTGTAGAGAAAGTCCAGAAGGAGATTGAAGATGCCTTTAGTTCCTCAGTCTCAATTTCCTATCAGGATCGGAAGAAGCTGCCCTACACCAATGCCGTGATTCATGAAATGCAGCGTTTAAAAAGTGTCTTCCTAGTTGGGTTGCCCAGGCAAACTACAAAGGATGTGACGGTGAAGGGTTACCACATTCCAAAGGTGAGAAATGCTAAGAACAGCCACTGCTCTCAGAAACTGCTTTGGAAATGAATAAATATGGGTCTATCAAGACAAGCTAAAACCAAACATTTCATCAATATTGTATGAATATTTTTTGCAGAGCACCATGATTTTGCCTGACCTGCGTTCTGTTCTTCTTGACCCTGAACAATGGGAGACACCTGAAGAATTCAACCCAAATCATTTTTTAGATAAGGATGGGAAGTTCATTGAACGAGAAGAGTTTCTGCCCTTCGGAATAGGTATGTCCATGAGCACAAAGCAGTTTATCACTTATAGATTCCTGTCACCCCCATCACTGTGTTAATCTGAAGTCATCATGGACTGAATAGAAAATCCAGAAATCTCTATTCCTTCTACTTTCATAACCATGAGAGTCTGAAATTCCTCCTAGGCTATAAAGTTTAAACTACAAGGAAATGCTAGTTATATTTAGATTGTAATCAGTAGAGCTTTGCACAATTATCCCTGTTGTTTGGGGGAGAATTATTAGCCAAATCCAGAGAAAACAAGCCTACTTTTAGTTTCTTAATGATGGATCTGCATCACAGAGTTTTGGTCCTAGATGCGTTAAGCTCAGTCTTTTTAATGGCTGCAGAGCTCCCCCTACAACAGCATTCTCATCCTGTCTGGTACTGCTTGTACACCAATGAATCTTTCTCTATTGCTGGTGCTGATAACAAAGGGCATAAAAGGCACAGCTTCAGTTATGATAGATATGAAAAACTATTGTTGTCCCCCAAAACTCATGTCCTCCTACCTAAACATACAGGCCCAATGATCCACACCAGTCAGGTGGAAAGGAAAAAAAAACCCTTTTATATGTAAATAAAAGGTCTACCCAGAAGCAAGTTCCAAATGGGCACACCTCTGCTTGGAGTGGACCCCATTTGATGCAATTTTGAAAAGCATACATTGCCATGATGCCAATCATGGAGATACATATCATGATAAAATAATCATTAAAAGCAGCATACATCTTGCTTACATCTTCAGGGTCACAGTAAGACAGTTTTAATTAATCAATATGTCATCCACCTTATAATAAAATGAGTTTAGGGTGCTTAGTTCAGCTAAAGCTTGAACTGCCCACAGCCAGCTGTTCAATCCTGACCGGCTGATGTTTGACTCAGCCTTCCATCCTTCTGAGGTCAGTAAAATGAGAACCCTGATGGTTGGGGGCAATATGCTGACAGTGTAAATCACTCCCAGAGTGTGTTAAAGCCCAATGGAGTGGTATACAACTTTGATCGCTATTGCTCTTGCTATTACTAAAGGTTACAAGTTAAAAGTTACAAGGTAGGGTAAGATGTTATCAATATTACCAATATTAGTCTTCCTTACTAAAAACCTTCCTATGCAATTTGGTATACTGGTCCTGCCCATCACCTTTATGGTCAGGGATTCCTGAGCAAGAAACAGATGGTCTGCTCAAATTGGCATTATTTCTGTTTAGCAATAGCAAGCACTTAGCACTTAGACTTATATCTTGCTTCATAGTTCTTTTATAGCCCTCTCTAAGTGGTTTACAGAATCAACATATTGCCCCCAACAATCTGGGTCCTCGTTTTACCAACCTTGGAAGGATGGAAGGATGAGTCAAACTTGAGTCTGTCATAATCAAATTCCTGGCAGTGACCTGAGTTAGCTTGCAATAATGCATTCTAACTACTGCCCCACCAGGGCTCATAAGCTGCTTTAATAAAGCAGTTTGACCTAATGGCTAACCACATCAATAGATTCAAAGCATTATCCCCAAAAGCTCTTCCTGTGTACTAAATAATAATGTGCTAAATAATAAGCAATACTAGAAGATAGGAAGATTCAACAGGGAAATGTGCTTCATCTGTTACGAATCTTCTTTCGTGTTTCCTTGCTGATGGGATATATTCTGGAGAATTGATTATTATCCCCTTTATGCATGCTTCTATCATCTACAGGTCAGCGTGCATGTGTGGGAGAGCAGCTGGCAAGAATTGAGATCTTCATCTTTCTGACCAATCTGTTGAGGGCCTTCAGCTTCCGGTTGCCTGAAGGAGTGAAAGAACTCAATGAAGCCCCTATTGTAAATGTGACAATGCATCCACACCCTTACAAACTGTGTGCTATTCCCACAAAGGCTTAAAATTAAACCCCATAAAGAGCATTAAATTATTGCACAGTAGGTATTCAGTATGACGAATGTTTCCTATGTACCTATTCACTTAATATTGTGTTTTGCTTCTATTTGTTCAATACTGAAAGTTCTTCAAGCTATTGCTTGGTTCACACCACATGCCTAACAAAGTCAACCAAAGACTTAGAGGATGTGTGTGAAAAATGTGCTAGCTAAGCTTATCATGCTTTATCTTTGTTCCTTTTGAATGCCAATAAAACATATTACTTCCATTTATTTTTAGTATCTTTTTCATTTTTATTAAATTTCTCCTATGGACCATGTTCCCCACTCAGGGCAAACTTCATAGATAGACCAAAAGGATGCTATACTTGAAGGGTTGAAATGATGCTGAGAGAACTAACGGAAGAAGAAAGATTGTGGCTCCCATCCACACCCCAAGGCAGAACATCCACTGAAGCAACCAATCCATTTTTCATCCCACACTTAGAGCTGAACTTAGACTGAATCTAATTCTGTGCTTCATCTGAAGCTCTCTACAGCCTAATCACTTTCTCTACAACCTTCCCCAAATATTTTTGACAGTACAGGTAGTCCTCGACTTACAACAGTTCATTTAGTGACCTTTCAAAGTTACAACAGCCCTGAAAAATGACCTATGACCACTTTTCACAGTGACGACTTTGCAGCATCTCCATTGTTGTGTTTTCGGTTTGCTGGCAATTGACGAAGACACATGGTGGAAACAACAAGCTCTTATTTCTCTCTCCTACAACCAAGCAAACAGCAAAAGGCACGCAGGCCTTTTATAGGGCCAGAAACCCAGACAGTGTAAACCAATAGGAATTGACCATTTTCGCGCCTTGCGCATGCGCACAATGCTGGCGCCACCCGGTCTGGTCCCAGGCACCTTTTGGGAATGCCCGGGACCATTTACAACAATTCTGAGCCTGCTTCCCGCTCTTGCAGGCTCAGGACACAACACCCATGATCATGTGATCTAAATTCAGATGCTTGGCAAATGGATCATATTTATGACCATTGCTGTGTCCCAAAATCATGTGATCACCGTTTGTGACCTTTGATAAGTAAAATCAATGGGGAAGCCAAATTCACTTACATCCTGGTCACTAACTTATCAACTGCAGTGATTCACTTAACAACCGAGGCAAGAAAAGTCATAAAATGGGGCAAAACTCACTTAACCAATATCTCACTTAACAAAAGAAACTTTGGGATCGATTGTGGTCGTAAATTGAGGACTACCTGTATTGCTCCAGTTCTGCAGTTTCTGGCAATTCCTCTCCCAGAATTCTTATTCAAAATCTTCCTCTGATTCAATGCAAGGAAAGAGGCCCCTTGGGGTTAATCCTGCCTGGTCCCTTTGTTATCCACGTATTCTGGAGACTGAGTAGATTGCAAGTAGAAGGACCTGCTGGGCTTGTGGGACATTTCCTCAAGTGCCACTTGGAAACCAGTTGGATCTGGTTCGATGCAATCGAAACAGGGAGCTGGATCCTAGCAGCGAGCTTCCTGGTATATGGAAAGTGAGCTCACCACAAGTGACCTTAATGTCCTAGATCTTCAGATCACATGTTAGCTAAGAAACAAACCAGACCATGTGTGTATTGCTCTCAGTGTGAGTGAGTATCATGATAACTTCTTGGTTTTGTCTTGGTGGCCATGAATTTCTGAGCCACTCAGACCCTGCACTGATGGCCTAGAGATTGTCATTTTGGAGTATAATAAGCCTGGATGAATTTACCAACATCAGAGCAATGAGGTCAAAGGCCTGGACAGTGAGGAAGGCAGTATGTCAGCAGTACTCACAGCTTATACTTGATTCCTTTTGCAGAGCCCCATAGAAAGCTACCTATGGAACAAAGCATCTTGATACTACCAAGTTCTCCCAGAGGATCATTTTCACCTCTCTTCCTCTGCCTTGGAGTCAAGGCTGGTATAAGAGCTGGAATCCTGTCTGGAGAATCTCATACCTCATTTCCATGAATATTACAACTTATTTTGGAACAATTTAGAATTTGTATTCTAAGCATCACCCCTCAACTACACATCCTTTGTACTTTGCCTAGGAGCTACATCTAGAAAGACATATTTTACACATAGCGTTTCATGAATCACAGCATTGGTGTAAGGGAACTATCTCTGATCCTGATAGGAAATTGTCCCTGAGAAGCCAAACACGTCTTCAATCTCTTTCTGGACTTTCTTTAGAAAAAATGATTCAACATTCAACCAATGTTCTTCAGAAGATCTGGCCTTCTTCAAGTTATTGCCAGCTTCTGGGCTCCAATTGCAGATTTGTAGCCCCACAGCCTGAAGGTTACGGTCAACGGTCGAGTAACTGGAAATACGGCGATGAACGTGGTTTGGTGGATTGTCTCCCGGGGTTTAGGTAGAGACTACAGACTCGTGACGTGACAAGGGATACCGGAACTAGAGACTAGACCGCCATGTATTCACTGCCAAGGCCCCTGTTGACTCTCTGGGCCAGTTCTTGCTTGCAGTCCCCCCCAGCTTGTCATTCTCCTGTACTGCAGCTCTGACTCCAAGTTGGCTCTTCACTATGCCTCAACCAGCCTTTCGCCCTCAGCACACACTCTTCACTCTGGCCTCCCACCCCTGCAACCCCTTCAGACTGGCACTGGGTTAGAATCAGTCTCAGTTCTCCAACTCCTACCAGGCCCTCATTGTGCTGCCCCACTCATGCACACATGCTCACAATGGAAAGTTCAAAGTTTTTTTTTATTCAAAACCCTCAACAGTTTCAGTAGTAAACCAAATGACAAGCTGGCCAGGTTACAAACCCCAAATAATAATAATAATAATAATAATAATAATAATAATAATAATAATAATAATAATAATAATAATAATAATAATAATAATAATAATAATAATAATAATAATAATAATAATAATAATAATAATAATAATGATAAAGTTGGAAGGGACATTGGAGGTCATCTAGTCCAATCCCCTGCTCAGGCAGGAAACCCTATACCATTTCGGACAAATGGCTGTCCAGTCTCTTCTTAAAAACTTCCAGTGTTGACGCGTTCACCGCTTCTGGAGGCAGGTTGTTCCACTGGTTAATTGTTCTAACTGTCAGGAAGTTTCTCCTTAGTTCTAGGTTCTAGTTCTAGGTTGCTTCTCTCTTTGGTTAGTTTCCACCCATTGCTTCTTGTCCTGCCTTCAGGCGCTTTGGAAAATAGCTTGACTCCCTCTTCTTTGTGGCAGCCCCTGAGATATTGGAACACTGCTATCATGTCCCCCCTTGTCCTCTTCATTGAACCAGACATACCCAATTCCAGCAACCGTTCCTTATATGTTTTAGCCTCCAGTCCCCTAATCATCTTTGTTCCTCTTCTCTGTACTCTTTCTAGAGTCTCAACATCTTTTTTACATCGTTGTGACCAAAACTGGATGCAGTATTCCAAGTGTGGCCTTACCAAGGCATTGTAAAGTGGTATTAATACTTCACGTGATCTTGATTCTATCTCTCTGTTAATGCAACCTAGCACTGTGTTGGCCATTTTGGCAGCTGCAGCACACTGCTGGCTCATATTTAAATGATTGTCCACTAGGACTCCGAGATCCCTCTCACAGTTACTACTATTGAGCAAGGTACCCCCTATACTATACCTGTACATTTGGTTTTTCTTGCCTAAATGTAGAACCTTACTTTTTTCGCCATTGAATTTCATTTTGTTAGATAGCGCCCAGTGTTGATAAGATTCATTCCAAGATATGCCAAACAAAGTCCAAAGCCAGTCCTAAATCAATACACAGAGCCAGAGGTGAGGATGTAAATAGGAACACAAAAAACTGGACATGTTGTTCCAGCAATACCCATTACTTTGATTCAGTCCCAGAAACGCCAAACAAAGTCCAAAGCAAGTCCTAAATCAATACACAGCTGCATTAAGTTCCAGGTCAAAGGCCTGGGGAGTGAGAAGGCAGTACAACAGTACTTACAGCTTATCCTCTTATCCATCAATGACTCTTTGACAGATTCTTTGGCCTTTAGATCAGATTGAACTGGGATTTGGATGGAGAATCCACATTGTGAAGACATTTGAAAATTGGTTAGCCCAATTGCAAGGTAGCATGCTCAGGTAATCTATCTGGGTCCATAGATTGGACCTTCAGCCACAGTGTCAAGCCCCATGGGCCTGACACACAAAGAAGGGGGGGAACCCAGTGCCAGACCGCCACCTCCCTTCCGACCTCCTTGCCTGCCGGGGCCACTTCGAGGACTGTCCGCTGACTGGACTCCATCAGCTGAGGTGTCATGTTCCGGCTAATGAAACACTTCAAAGAACTTCCAGGCATGTTTATCCTAAATCCTTTATTAACAGTATTACAAATTGATGGCACATCATGGAGGTATGCCAGAATCTGAATTCCTCTTGCTGGCAACTAACTTTTCTTGCTAACCCCCTCCCTTATCTTGCAGTCACAAGTCACATCTTCCAATTAGCCTAGAGGGCAAAGATTCACTTCCGTTCCTTTTCCCGGGCTTTTGTTATTATTCTCCTCCCTTTTCTCTGTCATCTGAATTAACTCTAAAAATACCAGACAGTTCTGCATATTTTGTCAAAGCAAGAATATTCAACCTGGATTTGGATGGAGAATCCATATTGTGAAGACATTTGAAAATTGGTTAGCCCAATTGCAAGATAGCATGCTCAGGTAATCTATCTGGGTCCATAGATCGGACCTTCCGCCACAGTGTCAAGCCCCATGGGCCTGACACACAAAGAAGGGGGGGAACCCAGCGCCAGACCGCCACCTCCCTTCCGACCTCCTTGCCTGCCAGGGCTACCGCGAGGACTGTCCGCTGACTGGACTCCATCAGCCGAGGCCAGTTCTGGTTCTGGGAGGCCGTCAGCCATTGGGTGCTGGAGCTCGGCAACACCGCCGCCGCCTCCCAACCTACCTCCTCGCCAGCTGGGGCCATCGCTGGGACTGTCATTAGTTGCTGGGCACCGGATCTCGATGGGGAGGGGAATCCTGGTCACAGCCATGGGAAGGCGAATCCCCGCGGACCATGCAGCGGACCAAAAAAAGGCGGCTCAGAACCGCGGGAGGCGGTGGCACAAGGGAGGGGTGGTGACGCCTCCTGCGGCTCAGAACCACGCGAGGCGGTAGCACAAGGGAGGGGCGGTGGCACAAGGGAGGGGTGGTGACGCCTCAGCAAGGGGTGGTGTCGGAAAAGGACACTAAACACCCTACCTGCGATCCACTCCAAGGACTGTGTGCCTGGTGCGTGGGGAGGAAGCAAGGACCTGAACTGCTGCTTATGTAACCTTCACGCTGGATGCTGGCTTGCAGACTGTGGGTGGGGCTATGAAGCAGAGAGGCTATGTAAAGTGCTGGGAGCAGTTCACTCCCAGCGCTGACTTTTCTCCTGTGCGGAATAAACCGTCTGTCACTCGTACCTGCCTGCTGATCCTTTCTTACGCACCGAGAAGGACGTTTTGACTCCAAGTTGGCTCTTCACTATGCCTCAACCGGTCTTTCACTCTCAGCACAAACTCTTCACTGTGGCCTCCCAGCTTGCAACCCCTTCAGACTGGCACTGGGTTAGAATCAGGCTCAGCTCTCCACTTCCTACCAGGCCCTTATTGTACTGCCCCACTCATGCACATATGCTCACAATGGAAAGTTCAAAGTTTTTTTATTCAAAACCCTCAACAGTTTCAGTAGTAAACCAAATGACGAGCTGGCCAGGTTACAAACCCCACACGAGATGAACTCTTGACAAGATTCAATCCAAGAAACGCCAAACAAAGTCCAAAGCCAGTCCTAAATCAATGCACAGAGCCAGAGATCAAGATGCAAACAGGAACACGAGAAACTGGACATGTTGTTCCAGCAATACCCATTACTTTGATTCAGTCCAAGAAACGCCAAACAAAGTCCAAAGCAAGTCCTAAATCAATACACAGCTGCATTAAGTTCCAGGTCAAAGGCCTGGGGAGTGAGAAGGCAGTACAACAGTACTCACAGCTTATCCTCCTGGGCAGCCACATCAATGACTCTTTGACAGCTTCTTTGGCCTTTAGATCAGATTGAACGGGGATTTGGATGGAGAATCCACATTGTGAAGACAATTGAAAATTGGTTAACCGAATTGCAAGGTAGCATGCTCAGGTAATCTATCTGGGTCCATAGATCGGACCTTCAGCCACAGTATGTTTTGCATGTTTTCTAGTTGAATATTTTAATTACTAGATGGCCTTATATAAGGGGTAGAGCCAACTAGATCCGTATTGCTGAAAGTGGTGTAGAGTAATCCACCCCGAGGATACATTTGAGAAAAGAAGACTGCATCATTTCCACTAAAGGGGCATCTATGATCATTGGGACTATTTTGCTGTGATGTACAATATCTTTCTGAAATAATAGAAAATACTTGCAGCTCGGGTTTTAGATTTTGGCTGTTGTTTGTCCTCCAAGCTTGTTTTAATATAACTTTTTGTTACCAATATACATAAACAATATCTTTATGATTGGAAGTAGATGAGCCAAGTAACTATAGTTGATGAGCTGACCTATGGCATTGGCACCTGCTGTAGCCCTTCTCTTAAAATGTGGGAGTCAGAAACCTTGTTTTCTGTGAAACCCAGTCCTATGTATAGGTAGGACGTAACTTGAGGTGTACATTCCCTATCCAAGTTCCAACTATACATACTCCGCCTCTTCCTCAAAACAATTACTTTAAGTCAAAGTGTATCAGAGGTGTTTGTAGATTGCTATCATCGTTCTTTCACCCCTTTTGGGGTGGGATTTTAACACTAATTCAGTCAGAGGTTCTGCTGCTATATGAGTTGTTAACAATATCCATTGTAAATACATTAATTGCCCCAACAATCTGGGTTCTCATTTTTCCAATCTCGGAAGGATGGAAGGCTGAGTCAACCTTGAGACACTCAGGATTGAACTGCTGGCAGTGGGCAGAGTCAGCCTGCAATACTGAATAATTGAGTACACTGAGTAAATACGTAAATTAACAACAAGCAAGAAGATGATTCAAGGAGAGTACTGCGGGGGTCCTTATCCTTGAGGCGTGGCCTTTCTTCATCTTTTAAAATTGCCAGATTGTCTTCCTTCTGATTGCTCTTCAGTTGAAAATCCTCAGTTAAGTCAAAGTGTATCAGAGGTGTTTGTAGATTGCTATCATTGTTCTTTCAACCCTTTTGGGTTGGGATTTTAACACTAATTCAGTCAGAGGTTCTGCTGCTATATGAGTTGTTAACAATATCCATTGTAAATACATTAATTGCCCTGACAATCTGGGTTCTCATTTTACCAATCTCGGAAGGATGGAAGGCTGAGTCAACCTTGAGACACTCAGGATTGAACTGCTGGCAATGGGGAAAGTCAGCCTACAATACTGTAGTATTCAATGCACTGCACCACCATGACTCTGAATGAGACAATTTATACACTGAATAAATAAGTAAATTAACAACAAGCAAGGTGATTCAAGGAGAGAACTGGGGGACTTTTATCCTTGAGGCATGGCCTGGCATCCAATTACCATAAAGGCCGTCCTATGAAGGAATAATTATTGAATGACTCTAGGAACCAAGGGAAACATGAGTCATTCTGAGTTCTGCTGTGTACCCAAGGCAAAACACAATATCACAAAGGATGGCTAGGTCCTACTCAAGCCATGTGGTCTCTATTGGGTTTAATGATACTTCAGAGTTGGGTAAATTGTCCCTGCTAAAACTTTAGCATGGATCATATTCAAATGTGCTAATGAGGTAGGCAGCTGATGGGTGACATCGTTTTTAGATAGGTATTTCTAAACATCTATAGCTCTCTACCTATAATTTGATGCTTGGATTAAGGACAAGTTTCAATCAATATAGGTTGTTGCAGAATCTATTACAACAGCTCTCCTTATTAGCATGATGATTACACTTATTTTAGTTGCAAAAGGCTACATAGCACCAGAGATGGTCCTTAACTGTATGAAGCCTTTATGAAAAAAGTCTCTTATTTGTAAGTAAAACTGAGTGAGTTTTATTTTCATGGTAATGTCCTAAAGCTGGAATTGCAAAGGTATGTATGAGATATAATGCTGGACTAGATGTTATCTCTTTGGCGCAACAAGATTGTCCCTTATATTCAGATATATTCCTTAGGCATGAGGTACACTATGTTTTTAAAATAATTCCGGCATACTATAATGTTTGGGGCAAAATGGATTACACAACCCTTGATTTTTTTTTTTAAAAAATATCTTCTTCTGTTATTTGTGTGGCATGTGGTCAAAGGCAACTTCGTTAACCTGAATTAATGTAATAGTATCTTCCAGCACAAATAAGGCAGAGCATCAGCATCATGTTGTTATTTGTTTCCCATCAATGGAGTATATAAAACAGGAAGAAAAAAAAAGCATCAGACAAAAGGATACAACCATCTTCAGATCCACTAGTGAGAATCGAAGAAAAAATAACCCAGCAGGACAATGATGGCGATGGGAACATTTTTGTGTGTTTTGCTGCTTTGTCTGCTGATTCTCCTCTTCCTGAGACAACTCTGGTCCCAAAGACATTTGCCTCCTGGTCCTTTGGCTCTACCTCTCGTTGGGACCTTGTGGGCTTACGGGATTTCGTTTCGTGAAGATTATTTTCGTAAGGTATTTCATTCTAAATAATTAACAAATAATATATAAAACCATTCTCAATTATTTTCTCTGTAACATAACTGTAGAAAAATATATTAACCTAGTAAAATATCGTTCCGCCCTACCCCACAAGGCATACCTGGGGATTGAGATATAAGGAGCTGCTGTGGGGTGAGGACTTTGTCGGGAACAAACATTGAAACTTGGGAAAGTGTGTATCATTGCTCTTGTCGTCAAGGTGTCCAGGAAAACCTGGACACCTTGACGACCGGACTGGCTGACCCACATGGATTTCCTGAATTACAACCTCAGACTGCATTTTGACTTTTCTCTTTGCAAGCTGAGATTCAAGCGGACTCATTAAGCTGATGTTTTGTTTTGTTTGTTATCTTTATGGCCTTGAGGACATTTCTATATTAATCAGGCTGTATTGAAACTGCCTTTAGCCAGAGTCAGCTGGAAGGTGTGTGTGGGTATTTGGGTTGGAGCCTTGCCAGCAAATGTGGGAGCATTTGGAGGAAATTTGCAACCATTAAAGAACTGTTTACTTTGCTAGCTGTGTGCATTGCCTTTGTGCTGTGCCCTTGGTTATCACAACTATGCGAAGGAGACAATCAATCAGCCCAGAAGAGAAAGAGACTGGGAGTACCTCTCCACCAGTCATTAGCACTCAGATCAGCATAGATTAACTCCAAGGTCAACTTCAGACCAACAATCAAGTAAGCAATACCCCAATCAAGGAACTGCCACAGAGCCATTAGTAAACAGCCCCACCGAAGAATCCCTAAGACTGCCCCCATCTAACCAGATATGAAACACATCAGAACATAAACTGACAGCAAACAGCACTCCTTACTAGCTCTGATAGTATTAGCTAGTTGGGGTAATTAAACGAAAGAAATGAAAACAAGCAAGCTCAGAAAGCACCAAGGAGCCCTTATAAATCTGTTTTATTTGATTATAACATTTCTCAACTTTGATTCACTTGGCAGCCTGTAAAACGATATGGAAATATATACAGCATGTGGGTTGGACCTGACCTTATAGTAGTGCTGTCTGGATTCAAAACTGTAAAAGAAGTAATGACCAGCTTCCCAAAGGAATTTTCTGATAGACCAGATAATGCTTTCATCACCGCTTTGGGGAAAAAAAAGGGTAAGTGCAAATAGTAAGGAATTGTATCTAAATTTCCATCACACTGTTACAAATTGTGTGAATAATATGCATAACATTGGGGCAGTGGTGGGATTCAAATACCTGAACAACTGGTTCTCTGCATGGATGCAGGCCTGGGCCTCTGGGGCCTAGAACAGACTTCCGGAAATGGCATCCATGCACTTCTGGCAGGCCACTTTAGGCCTGGGAGGCCTCCTCCAGGCCTCCGAAGCCTAGAACGGACTTCCAGAAGCAGTGTGCATTAAGTTGGTTCTCCAAACTCAACAAAATTTAGCTACCCATTCTGCCAAACCAATGAGAACCAGCTGAATCCCACCACTACATGGGGGGGGGGGGAGGGAAGTAAGGGATAATTAACAAAATGATTTAAACTCTTGAGATAAGGAAAAAAAATACTGCTATAATCCAGTTTACACCAAATTATTATATGTCTCAATTGCATTTTATCTTGTCCATTACATTCATACTAAATATCTTTTTACTAAATATCTATCTGCTTTTTTTCAGGCTCTCATCTTCCCCCTGAAATTTTGAAAAAATCTTTCCCAATCTTCCCTTACCTTTTCAGTCCTTTCCTTTGTTTCATATTTTGCCTCTTTTTTCAAATTTTGCCTCTTCCTTCAGATTTGATTTTCACCAAGTCTCTCTCTATGGCCAACCCACCAAAGGCTGCCAATTTCATACTGACTGCCCACATACATAAGCATGAGCTTTCAGTACTTTCTATGTATAAGAATTAGGTTTAGTTGAGGATCTATTCTAAGCTAATAACGTTTCCAAAATTGGAATAAAATCAGCAGCTTTAATTATCTTACCTGAAATCAAGATAACAATTTAAACGCTTACATACCTTGGATCGGAGCTCCTAAACCTCAGATGGAATGAGAAAGAAACAACACTGTCCATCATCCATGATCACCCAGACCCATCAACTATTTTTGTTTTCTGATAAATGGAAGGTGGAAACCTGGCCTGGGAAAAGCGTTCTAAGCTCTAAGCATGTACTCCATGTACATAGAAACATTCCCAGGTGGGAAAGAAAGTGGTTGGAAAGAGAGGACTACAGGTAGTTCTTGATTTACAACCATTTGTTTAACAACCATTTGAAGTTTCAATGGACTAAAAACAATGACTTAGCTTAACAACCATCTCAAAAGAGGTCATAAAATTGGGCATGAGTCACTTAACAACCACCTTGCTTAACAATGGACATTCTGGTCCTAATTGTGGTCATAAGTTGGAGACTATCGGTAATGAAACATGATAGAAGAAATATCAGTTCTTGCATTAAGCAACTCAGCATAGTATTCAAGAATGGTCAGGAGAAGACCACCGAAGGAAGACATCAAACTCTATTCTATGCAGATGGATAAAGTTCAAGATTGCAATACTCTGCTTTTTAAGGATAATTAATATCCCTGTTTAACTCTGGGAGGTGGGGAGAAGAAGATGGTTAGAACTAAATTTACATGAAATATTTAGAAATCTCCCCCTAATGTGGTGATTGGAAACCTATGACATGCAGGTGACAGGTGACACACCAGGCCTCCAGAAAATCCCTTCTTTCATGCAGCTTCTGGGTCATCCAAAAACATGCAAGAACAAGGTGTGCATTCTCCAAGTTTTCCACCCTTTAAGGTCTTGTGTGACCTTCGATCTACAGTACCTCAGATAGGCAGCTTTTCTGAGAGGCACCAGGGGCTGGGGCAGAAGGTCTAACTGGCAAAGCAGAGTCAAGTTAGACTTTTTGTGAATTTTTGACACAATGACCACAAAAGGTTCATCATCACTGCCATATCGTGAACATTATTTCACTTGCTAGAATTTTTATTCTGCTATCCTTTGATCTTATTAAAGAGAATGGAAGTATGTATTTTAAACTCTGTTTATTTTTACTCCAAGGAGATAGAAGGGAAACTCATAGAGGGGATAGATGGGATAGATGGGATAGAAGGAAAACTCATCAGATTTGAAGATGAAATTAAGTTAGAGGGAATAGCCAGTCCTTGAGAAGATGAGGCTCAAGATGGACAGACTTGGGCATTGGTCCTTATCCAACAAGATATAGTATGGGCAAAGAACTTTGGATATTCTATAGATTTGGAAGACTGGCAAAAACTTTGGGATAAAAATATTAAGCTTACAAAAGCGGTAGCATATAAAGAAAACTTATACAAGATGTTTTATAGATGGCATATGACACCAGTTCGCTTAGTGAAAATGTTTAAAAATGTTTCGGATATTTGCTAGAAATGTAAACAACAGCCAGGCACTTATTACCATGCCTGGTGGATATGCCCTATTGCTAAGAAATATTGGTCTAAGATTCATAGATGGTTGGAAAAGATGATGAAACTACGATAGAATTTAAACCGGAATTGTTTTTATTAGGAATATTAAGACCTAATTATGGTAAAGAGAATGACTATTTGATATTGCATGTTCTAACAGCTGCGAGGATAGTATTTGCCCAATTTTGGAAAAATGAGAATTTACCATCTGACCAGATTATAATTACTAAAATTTTAGAGTGTGCAGAAATGGATAGATTAAAATTAGAGATGAAAGAAAAAGATGACTCAATTTATTTTATAACTTGGGAAAAATTCTATCAATGGTTAGAGACACGTTAGAATTTGAAGGATTTAATATCTTAGAACAGATGATTGATTCTTAAGCGAACGCTAATTAATACATTGATATTGTTATTTTTCGTGATTTACTGATTTTTACCTGTTACTGTTGACTGTTAGGATTTCTTGAGATTTTATTAATAGTGTTTATTTGATAGATGAACGTATTTGTTTATTAATTGTTTTTAATATGCTATAGTTAAGCTTATTTTAAAAATGGTTGAATATGATATTTACTCATTATTATGACCCGGACAGTAGCTTGTTTGTTAAAATAGATGATTGTACCTATCCTTATTTTATCCTAAACCCCTTATTCCCTTCCCCCCATCCCCTCCCTTTACCATACCTGTATTGTTCCTATTTTTTCCTTATGTTTATAAACTCAATAAAATCTTGTTAAAAAAAAAGATATAGTTTGAAGGTGAGAAACAAAGTCCTGCATCGAGCCAGGAATAAACAAATGCATAAATATAAAAAAGGTTGTACCTGGCTCAACAGTAGTGCTTGTGAGAGGGATCAAGGTGTCCTAGAGGACCACTTCTTAAGTATGAACCAGTAATTTGCGGCATCTGCCAAAAAAGCCAATGTAGTTCTAGGCTGCATCAACCAAAGTGTACCATCAAGACACTGAGAACTGATAGCACTGCTTTACATCACTCTGGTTAGACCACATTTAAAATACTGCATCCAGTTTTGGTCACCACGATACAAAAAAGATATTGAAACCCTGGAACATGTGCAGAGAAGAGAACAAAAATGATAAAGGGCCTGGAGGTTAAATCGTATGATGACAGGTATGCCTAGAAGAGAAGGATTAGGGAGGACATGATAGTTGTCTTCCAGTACATAAGGGGCTGTCACAAAGAAGGATTTGAGGTATTCTTTAGGGACCATAGGACAGGACAAGTAGTTCAGGTAATCCTTGACATACGACCACAACTGAGCCCAAAATTTATGTTGCTAAATGAAACATTTGTTAAGTGAATTTTGCCCCATTTTACAGCCTTTCTTGCCACAGTTGTTAAGGGATCATTGCAGTTGTCAAATTAGTAACACGTTTGTTAAGTGAAACTGGCTTCCCCATTGACTTTGCTTGTCAGAAAGTCTCAAAAGGGGATCAAATAATAATAATAATAATAATAATAATAATAATAATAATAATAATAATAATAATAATAATAATAATAATAATAATAATAATAATAATAATAATAATAATAATAATAATGATAAAGTTGGAAGGGATCTTGGAGGTCATCGAGTCCAACCCCCTGCTCAGGCAGGAAACCCTATACCATTTCAGACATGGACAGCCTCTGGACAGCCATGATCGCACAACACTGCAACTGAGATAAATATGAACCAGTTGCAAAGCATCACTTGAGTATGGGAATGCTGCATGGTTGTAAGTGTGAAAGTGACCATAAGTCCCTTTTTTTAGTGCCATTGTAACTTCAAACTGTCACTAAACAAACTGGTGTTAGTCAAGGACTACCTGTAATGGATGGAAACTTGTCAAAGACAGAACTGATGATGTTATCTAGTTTGGGGAATGAAATGTCTGCAAATGTTTATGGAGATTCTTGGTAATCCAGGGATTCAGTTTGAGATGCAGACAACACAGACTCATCCCCAACAGCCCGCACCTGTCTTCAACAGTGAAGGGACACAGGGCAGAAAACATCCTGCAGCCAAGAAGGCTCCACACACATTTGCACCACTCAGATGACCCTGAGGACACAGGTAAACCTCCAAATGGCCTCAATGACTCTCTACAAGAATGCAAATGACTAGCAGTCTGCAAGGAGTATAAACCCTTACATTCCCCACCACTCAGTCAGAGCTGAAGGAGCTTCTTGGATGGGAAGTGAAACGTCTTCAAATAAAAACAAGAAAGTCCAGTTGCCTCCTGAAAAAGGACCTTTGGGACAACCATGACCTGGATGACTGAGAATCTCCATAGATCTTGTAGGAGGAAGTTACAAATGGATTCTATTACCACTGAGAAGTTCCTGTCACTTGTGCCTATAACATGTTCTCGTATGTGAACCTTTACATCATCTTAGAAGCTTTTGATGTGCATCATATAAGATAGAGACTGGCAAGCACTGCAACTGTGGTCACCATCCCACACGTGTCTCTCAGTGTCTATGTGACTCCCAACATGAATAAATATTATAATAATAAAAATTAACATAGCCAGAATCTTACAGAATGGCAACATTGCACAAAGGATTGGTATTCCCACCTGAAATTCATAGAGATGTTTGCAAGAACTAGACCTGTTTTATTTTTTAACATGAATGTTATCAGGAATCATTTATCACTGTCTGCTGATGTCCACAGGAATTCTTCTTTCCAGTGGCCACACCTGGAAACAGCAGAGACACATCGGCATCACTTCTCTGCGGAAGCTGGGCCTGGGGAAGAAAAGCATTGAGCACCAGATAGAAGATGCAGCTCAGACGTTGGTGGAAACATTTAAAAAAACAAAAGGTATGCAATTTGGGCTAATCGCTCAAGTGTCTGCAGAATTCTTTTCCATTCTGTGTATTTCAAATAAGAACAGACGAATTTGATAAGATTTTTTAAATTTTTTGAAACAATTGCAGTTCCCAATAATGTTGTTCATTGCATAGAAGTCCTGTTCTTTAATAATTGATTATGAAATATCTTCATTTGCAGGACAGCCATTTGACCCTTCAATTCCAGTAATAAATGCAGTTATTAATATCATATGTACTTTGAGTTTTGGACATCAGTTTGTTCCTGAAGATGAAAACGTCCAGAAGCTAATTAAAAAATTAGAAATTATTATGAAATTCAGTGGTAGCTTTTTTTATGTGGTGAGTCATGTTTTCTGTTAAAGAGACAAAACTGTTTCCATTAATATTTTCATGTAATCATGAATGGTATCCATGCAGGAAGCCTTGGAAATCGTCTATTGTACTATTATCCCCGGTAGTCAAGACAAATCTTTGCAGTTTCCCTGTCAAGATTTTGCAAGTGGTTTGCCATTGCCCACTTCCTAGGGCTGAGAGAGAGGGACTGGTCAGTTTCACCCAATCAACCAGGGGCTGCCACAAAGAAGAGGGAGTCAAGCTATTCCCCAAAGTGCCTGAAGGCAGGACAAGAAGCAACGGATGGAAACTAATCAACGATAGAAGCAAACTAGAACTAAGGAGAAACTTCCTGACAGTGAGAACAATTAACCAGTGGAACAACCTGCCTCCAGAAGTGGTGAATGCTCCAACCCTGAAAGTTTTTAAGTAGAGACTGGACAGCCATTTGTCTGAAATGGTATAGGACTAGATGACCTCCAAGGTCCCTTCCAACATTATTATTATTGTTGTTGTTGTTGTTGTTGTTGTTGTTGTTATTATTATTATTATTATTATTATTATTATTATTATTATTATTATCTTTGTGCTTGAGTTGGGTCTAATACTCAGAATATCTGAGTTTCTAGGCTGATGGATTAACAACTACACCAAAGTGTTTCTGCCCAGGAAGGAATCCATTATTTCAGTATCACTAGCAGATGGCTGTCCATCCTGTGTTTAAACGCTTCTAGAAAAGATGGTCCAGCACTTCCTGGGTCAGTCTGTCATTGAACACGTCTTTCAAATTTTTCTTAATAGCAAACCAATAATGTCTGCTTTATTATGATTTAAGCACATTGCTTCCATGCAGAAATTCTTCTGCTGCAGCCACCAAAAAAGCCAATGCAGTCCTAGTTAATTCATTATTTAGCCTGGCATGTGAATCCAGTTGGTCTAATTTATTAAATCAGTTAGCCATAGGTTACCATATTTGCAAAGGCTCCTGGAGAGAATGAGAGAATAAGAGAATTTTATATTAGCTTTAAAATAATCTATCTGCCCCTAACCTGATTTTTTCTGGACGAATTTGGAAACAGCTTTTCTGGAGGACTTTTGAGGGCTGACACCATGTAAAGTTTGCCATGTTTCAATGTGCTTGCAATGTTTTTCTTTGGTTATTAAGTGCTGTCTATTACTGTAAACTGCTGAGAGTCCTCTTTTGTTCTATTTGGGAAATAAATAAACAGCCTTTTCCTTTTCCATTTCTATTAGATTTTTATTATGTTCCCACGATTAATGAACTATCTCCCAGGCCCTCACCAGGATGCTTTGGCTTCAATAGAGGTGATCAATTCCTTTGCAAAGCAGGAAATAGAGAAACACAAGGAATCCAGCTGTCTGCATGAGCCACAAGATTTCATTGATCACTATCTTCTTCAGATAGAGAAGGTATGGGATTATTGTAGTTCAATACGGGCAAATAAGAAGAGGAGATACTGGTATTGTTTTCCTTGGAGTTACTTCTTTTTCATTCAACTCCCATTCTGAATTTTGCCTATTCTAAATTCCGGTTGCTTCTAAATAAGGACTATATTGTAATTCTGCAATATTAGACTCTTGTTATACATGTGAGGTTCCTTGGGGAAGTTAGAAATGTTTCCGTTGGTCATCCTGTAATATTTGCCTACCACTCCTTTCCCCCTTTTATAAAGAAGTTCCATTAAGAAGGAAAAGAATTAACAAGGTAGAGTCTTTTGATTGATTCATACTTAAACGAATACTTACCCTGAAATGTTGGAAAAGTACAGATACTTTCACAGCTTTGAACATAAATAAAAATGTAGAACAATTGAAATAAGGAATAAAGGTCCTCCTCTCCATTGTTTTCAGAAAAAGATTGACTTTTTTTAGAACTACTTTTATCAATGTGCAGTCACGTTGCCCTTGGTCACTTTATTTGATACCATCAGTCTTGAGTGTACTAATGGTTCAAGGGTGGTGCAATGCTTCAGTTTTTATTTCCCTCCCTATCATGCTATTATCAGTACATACTAGCATCCATGGGTGTTATAATTGTAGGTTTCTGGTTAGAGTGTCCACACTAATTATAAAGAGCGATGGTGAGTGGTTGGACCATTTGTGATTGGGAAAGGAATAGGTCATATAGTATTTGCTCAAATACCTCTCTGTCTCAGTGATCACCATATCTGTGGTGTTTTGTTTCACAAGATGGTTCTCCATCAATAGGCGGGTGGACTGGATTGTCTCATTTGTCCCATAATTCTTCAGGACATTATACTGGTTTGGTGAAAGATTATTGAGGTCTCACAAGAATCCAGTACAGGTACTATTCGATGTACAACTGGGCCCAAAATTTCTATTGCTAAGCAAGGTAATGAATTCTACCCCCTTTTATGACCTTTCTTACTACAGTTTTTAAGTGAATCATGTGATTGTTAAGTGAATCTGGATTCTTCATTGACTTTGCTTGTCAGAAGCCAGCTAGGAAGGTTACGAATGGTAATCACATGACCCCAGGACAGTGCAACTATCATTAATACATGCCGGTTGCCAAGCACCTGAATTTTGATCATGTGACCATGGGGATGCTGCAATGGTATGAAATTAGGTCATAAATCATGTGTCATGGTTCCGATAGATGAGAAATAAGAACACCGAGGCAATTGCTTTCCTCAAAGAACAACTGTTAATGGCTACATAGTTTTGGTAGAAGCAAAGGTGAAATCAAGACTGAAAGCCCCCCCCCCCCCAAGATTACAAAGTAAAAAATTGAACTCTCTACCCCTGCAATATATCATAAGTCACAATCCCCAATTAACTACTTTGGTGGGCTTTCTAACGGAAAGTTCAGCCCGCCAAAACTTAGGTAAATTGACCTTGGTTCCCACAGAACAGTTATTGTTGTGTCTAAACTAAGAGAATACATCTTCCTCCTCCCATCACTGTGGCAACTGAAAATGAAGTGAAGATGGCTGCAGCCCAATTCATTTGAAGGTTTACATCATGTTTTTCACTGCTGTTGAAACTGTCAAGGCTGAAAACATTGGGTGTTTTTGCTTTGACAATATAAAGAGGCAGCCTTTTCCTTTATTTGCTTTGCTCTTAGAATTAGAAGATGCTGGGGGGAGGAGGAAGAATGTTTTCTCCGGTTGTTTTGAATAAGATAAGAAATGGCGCGTTACTGAACGGAAGGAAAGCTTTGCCCTTCAAACTGATTGGGGAATGTGATTATGACTGCTTATTGGAGGAGAGAATTGTGCCACATATTATGTGCTGAAGGGAGGGAAATTCAGATCTTGGCATCCACCATGCTGTGCCTACACTTTGTTTCACAATTAAAGACTTTTTAGGATAAACAATGCCTGAAAGTTCCTTGAAGTGTTTTGTTAGTCAGAACCATGACATCATGCCAAGATCTAATTTCTTTTCAAACTATCTGGAGTCCTGAACTCCAGCCGCTGTCTCTAGGCTTGAGAGAAGCTGGCAAAGATTCATGAGAAAATTTCATCATGGGAAAGAGAACCTGCTTGAAGACGGTGACCCGGGTCTTCCAGTTGGATCACGGTGCCGATGGCAGCTTTTCCGTGAGCCGTCTGCCCCGAGGATGCGTCAAAGCCGCAGGAACAGTGCGTAACAGCTGTTCTGCGGCTCGGAATTTCCTTCCCCGGGCAAAGGGGGGGTGAGCTTCCCCGATAGGGGTAGAGCTCCCTAGCCCTCTTAATTTTTCATCTGTGAGGGCAAAGGTGAGCTCCCCCGGAGTCTGGGACTTCTCCGTGCCTCGGGCTGCCTTTGTTCTCTGAATGAAGCCAGACACGGATTCAACCTCTGTTGTTCCAGAAGATTGTGAGTAGAATTTTATAAACAGATGGAGCTAACCAGGAGGATTGGAACTTGATTGAACTGGGACTTTAACTCTGGAAATAAATAAGAATCTTCTTCATTTTTTATTTTTAACTTGAAGAAGAAGGAATATGGCTGCGGAAGGGCAGTTTTTTTTGATAGAATATAAGAGACTTTCACTTTTTGGAGACTTTCACTTTCTTCTGGACTTTTTACTGTAACAGATTTAGTTACTTTGTTGTCTACTGGCTGGGCAAGCTTTCTGTTTTTACTTTTGTTTGATGCTTTTATAAGACTTTATATTATATAATGAAAGTATAGGAGAAGAAAGAGAAAAGTAAAATGACCTCAAAACATGTGGGAACTTTTGTTCCTCAGAAAAGCACGATCTCCTCCCCAGCTGTTCAAACACCACAGCAGCCAAAAGCCAAGACTCCTCCGCCTTCTCTTCCAATTCTGGTACTTACACTGAAAGATTTACAGGATGCTTTGAAGGACAATGCAAGACAGATTAGAACGGAGATGGAGGAGCTTTTTGAAAAGAAACTTGAAGAGAAAAATGCAGAGATGAGAGATGACATACTGTTTGCATTGCAAGGTTTGGCAGTTCATGTAGAACGTATTGATGGACGGGTGGATGAAGTGGAGGAACATGTTGAAAGTCTGGAATTTAGACTGGGAAAAGTGGAGGATAACATGGATTTAACTCAAAATGAGGTCATTATGTCACAATATAGAGAAATGGAATATGCTTTGAGAATAAGGGGATTGAAAGAAAATGCTCAAGAAAAATTGGAGGAAGAGATTGCAGCAGATTTGGCTTTGGTTTTGTCCTGTCAACCTGAAGAAATTATGAGAGAAATAGAAAAAATTTTTAGAGTTAATTCATGGGTTGCAAGACAGAGAAACCTTCCTAGAGATGTTGTTATCTACTTTTCCAGAAAATCAATCCGTAATGAAATTATTCAAGCTTTTTATAAGCAGAAATTTCAAATTTCAGGACAAGATGTTATAATTTTAAAGGAGATACCACCCAAAATACTTAGAAGAAGGAAGGATTTCGCCATCCTGGCTGAAGAGTTGAAAATGCGACAAATTCAATTTAGATGGGATATACCTGTTGGTATAATGGTGAATTACATGGGAACACATTATAGGCTCAACACGATTGCAAAGGCAAGGGACTTTTATATCTCAATCTTGAAAGCAGGTTCACCATCATCTCCACAAGGTAGCAGGAAGAAAGGAATCTTTGAAGACAAAGTGGCTGAAGGAGCCATATCATCATCAAGTGTTACAAAATTTCAAGATCAAGACCAAGTTAAGCAACAATTTATGGAAATTAAAGATGATCCGAAATCACAAAGAATGACCTGTGCAGCTCATAGACGTAAAGAAAGAGAGCAACAAAAAGTGGATGTGGTACCTACAGCACAGCAAGTCATCTCGGAGCCAGTGGGAGGAGCGAGGCCAAAGAGATCAGTAACAACTGATTTACAAGGAGCGTTCCAGAGGCTCGCTGCCATTAAAGATGGCAAGGTTCCTGACATGGAATGTTAATGGTTTGAATTCTCCACAGAAAAGAAAAAAGATATTTTACTATTTGAAGCAACATAAGAATGATGTTGTTTGTTTACAAGAAACTCACATTACAGCAAAGGATCAAAAATATTTGATTAACTCACGGTTGGGAATACATTTTATGGCACCCGTGCCTCAGAAAAGAGGCGGGGTAGTTATTTATGTTAGGAAAGAGTTCTTGCCTAAATTGATTGATTCTGATCTGGAAGGAAGATATGTTTTTATTGAAATATTATTGAATGGGAAGAAATGTCTTATTATTGGCTTATATGCCCCAAATCAACAGCAGAAACAGTTTTATAAATTGGTACATCGGAAATTAAATCAAATGGATTACAAATCAGTTATTATGATGGGAGATTGGAATGGTGTTTTAGATTCAAGAAGAGACAAGAAAGGTTCCTGTAAAGCTTTTAATTCAACATTGCCTAAAACCTTTTTTGACTTGAAGGATGAATTGGAATTAAAAGACATTTGGCAAGAACGAAATATGGAAGAAAGAGATTATACTTTTTTTTCGGATAGGCATCAATCCTATTCCAGAATTGATTTCTTTTAATTACTAATGATTTTTTTTCTAGGGTGAAGAATATTAAGATTTTTCCTAGGACACTGCCAGATCATAGCCCTGTATGGATGGAATTATTTGCTGAAGAGGGGAATAGAAGAACCTGGAGATTGAATGAAAAATTATTTAGATATGATATAAACTTGCAGAAATGTAGAGAGCAATTGAAAGAATTTTTTTTGTTGAATATGCATAAAGATACTTCAATTTCAATGGTTTGGGATGCTAGCAAAGCATATATGAGAGGTATTTTGATTTATATGAACAATGTTTATAGGCGTAAACAAATGCAAAAACGAAAAGAGTTAGAGGAGGAGATTAAATTAAAAGAACAGGCTTTTATCTTAAATCCACTGGATAATAATTTAAAAGTATCTATAACTGTGCTTAGGGAGCAATTTAATATGTTAATAGCAGATCAGACTGCAACTAGTTTAAG